TAGGGTAGACCGGGGCTAAACGCCCCCCTTAAGCAAGAAACATCACAATTTTCCCTGCTGGAGGTATAGACCGTTCAAAGTGGGTGTTAACTATGAAGGGCTGACTAGACTACAAACTGATACTAACACTTTTGGAAACAAACAAAAGAAAAACCTTATAGGTAAAAAATAGGTAAATTATAAAATCGGCCTTTTTGCCCCATGGCTGGGGCATTACGCCTCGCACCACGGGGCTTAACGCCCACCGTGGGCGTCTTGCCCCAAACTATAGGCGTTATGCCCCGCCTTTGTACAAAGCAAAATAAAATCAAATTATATTTCTACGAGACAACTTGGTAAGCCTTTAAAAGCAACATATAATATTTTGGGATACTGAGATAATAAACATACCCATCAAATTTATTCAGAATGAGCTGTAATTCTACTCTTTACGACAGGGCACTGTGATACTTCCAAAATTAAGTTCCTAGTACAGCCACTTGCTTTGGCTTTTCCCCATATAAGTGTTATAACTGATGATATACAATAAAAAAACATGCATGAAAGAACACTTCCGCATCTTTTTAGAATTATTTTTTATTTAAAAACGAAAGGGGGCAAAACGCCCAGTGATCGGGGCAAAACGCCCACTATAGGCGTTTTGCCCCATATCAGCATGGGCGTTTTGCCCCAAAGTGAGATTTTGTATATTTTTTCAAAATTCGGCGGGAAAAGTTTTATACAATCTGACTTCATCGAAACTTGTATGGAGGTCTGATACCATCCTATCTGTCACCAACAAAGTTTTTTGAATTCGTGCATTTGGTAGGTGGTGTCACTGATGTTAAGGAAAAGGCTAAATAACAGTAAACAAGGCAAAAATGAACAAATTATCATAAAATGCTTATTTTTTAGTTTGTGGTCATCTCCGTCATGGAGGATAAGTCTGCTGGAAATCGGAAGTGGTCAAAACATCACGAGACGCGTATTTATTCGTAATACCTGAAAAAAAGCGGGTGGCGTTTGACCCCGACTGGGCGTTTAGCCCCGGTCTACCCTATATATATATATATGTGTGTGTGTGTGTGTGTGTGTGTGTGTGTGTGTGTTAAACCCCATTATTTCCATGTGTTGTGCCCGTTAGTGGATGTTTGAGAGAGAGAGGGAGAGAGAGGTGGTTTTCCGTCTTTTTTTTCAGATGAGATTCAAATCATTTCCCAAACTACTTCAATTTGATGAGAACATATATTGCACGTTCTTTAGGGGTTGGCATATGTGAACCTTCCCCATGAGAAGATCAAAGAGTTCATCACTACCCTCACAACTCCATTTTCCAAAACAAAACGGTCAATTTAGTCCCTTTCCCTTCAATAAAATTTAATGATAACTCTAAAACTTTTTTAGCAAACGTTACTCGCGGTTGCTTTAAGCAGTAGGCCTATAACTTTTATTTCTGTATGAATTATTAACATTTATGCTATTGTAAATTGGACAAATTCTCAGGACATGAGTTCGTTTGCGATTATTTTTTACACAATATTGGCTTTTTATCACTTTACTTTGCGTATAGTCACTTAATGTTTATTTACAGAATAAACATTTTAAGATAAGAAGGCGTATTCTACTTTTTTTTACTGTCTACTATTGTTCAAACCTATTAAACTATGTAAAAGTTCACCATTTATTGATAAATACACGTCATTTCAGTTGTTTCTTTTTTATTTACGTAATGTTGAGATTTTTACCTCACTCCATTTCTACAGTATGACGAAAAGGGGTGATCACAAGTAGGCCTTGGGACCATTTTATTTATTTTCGGGAAATGCCATGTTTCATATTACTGATTAACTTTGAATTCAGGTCTTAAGTGAAATTATGTCTGATTTGGGAATAGATTAATTAGTAGCAGACAGTTTTTAATTAAAATTTTGTGCCTATTTTACATAACGAAGTAAATGGCAAATGGCTTACATGTCCACTAATAGTTAGTGTCATTTAATGAACTATTCCGAATATACTTTTCATTTAACCAGATTAATATATTCATTCTACTATTACCAATCTGATGTCATCACTTTTTCTCCACCAGGATGGCGTGTTATTTGTCTTCCACAAGTGCAGACCAGGATCTACGTATAGCATTGTGTGAGGATTTTGAGCGAATGTCCGTTACATGTTTAGATGTGCTCTGCTGCTATATTTAAGACATGACTATATGTGACTGGACAAAAAATGGCTTGACTTAGAATGAAAAAAAAAAGAAGAACACTGCATTCTGCAAGATTGGAATATATAATTATTATACCGTTGGAATATAAGTTGTATTTATTTGATAAATAAGTTATGTATTATGTACCTCTGTATGGGTAAAGTTTGGCTTGTACTAGTATTCCTATGTGCCGACACCAGCAGAGGCAAAAGAGCGCGGGGGTGGGGGGTGGGGGGGGCTGTAGGGGGGAGGGGGCTGACCCCATTTTCGTCAGCCACCTCATTCTTAACCACAGGAAATACGGGGGCTAAAACTATCCCCTCGTAGTCGCTTCCTCCTACACACTTCCTTTGCACCCTCACAGTCGTGAATTTAGAACGTGTTACTGCTTTTACCCAGTACTTATCTACACACTTCTTCGTTGAAGTGTATCGGTAATTACATACAGCGACCCTGTCAAGTTCCATTTCTCACAGGTATCATGTTGTTTTAAGGTCGCCGGGGCACTGTGACATATCTGAAGCTTAGGCTGTGCAGTGTGTGTATAAGTGTGTGAATTAGAGAGAGAGAGAGAGAGAGAGAGAGAGAGAGAGAGAGAGAGGGGAAGAGAAGGACTGCCGTGTGTGTTTAAGTGTATAAGTAGAAATTAACCTTTTAATCATATGTAACAGCAATATCCAACAAAATGACCAGAAGTAAGGAGAATGAACAAATTTCGGGATACGAGCAAGTTATTTCACAGCGGCTGAACATTGCATCCTATCATTCTACGGTGGATGTTAACAAGACCTTTTAATACAACTTACGCCCACCCACGTTCTATACATCCGGATTATCGGGAAATGACGACAAATCAGGATAAAAAAGAAAGTGCTTGGTACATGTACTATCGTCCTCTGTGGGTTTCAGCTTTACGTCAGTAGTTTGATCTTAATGCTACGACCTACTGCAAATACATCTCCGTTACGGTTAAGAAAGCTGCATGATTATCGGTGGGTGCACTTTTGCGCCACCCCTCCCCCCCCCAAAAAAAAAAAAAAAAAAAAAAAAGAAAGAAAGAAAAGATTATTATTTGTGTAAACAAGTCTATGATGTACTTGGCACTAAATACATTGCCCTTGCATTGAGCTGTCACTCTGCCTATCTCTTAAGTTCAACAGAATGAAATCGCTTAAACATGTATTTATACTTTCGATTATCCCCTGAGCCCTATTCTACGTAACGTCTACAATATCTTGAATGATCAATAGAATTAAAAGAAAAGGCCTCCAACAAGAAGATAAAAATATGAAAAATATGAACGTACCGATATACTTTTCTACGCTGAATTGTCAATTCCCGATAATCCGGATTACATCTTGAACCCTTTGCCACTGTACATAAAGTATACAAAATCTTGAGTGATCCATAAAACTAAAAGTAAAGGCCTCCAACTAACAGATAAAATATTAATTTGAGGTGCCCTACTAGCAGGACTCTGATAAGAGAGGTTGTAAGCGTATAGAAGCACAAGCTAATTACATGTAATTATCTAGCAGGGTATTCTTCATATTAACCTTCAAACACCCACGCATACTTCAGATATTCTGTGTATGATTCACTTGCCTTTATTGATCTTTATTTTTGGATTTCTTTGAAAACCGTTCCGAACCGGATGTAAAAAAGGTCATGCGACAATGAGGACTTACCCCCTTCAGCATACGACTCACGCCGTCGGGCATAACTGATTCGCACGTTGTCAATGCAATGCCTACTTTCTAATCGACTTGACTCCATGGGCGGTGGGTTTATGCTGTGACAAGGCGCTATCACATTTAATTTTGTTTGATCTATTTTCTTAAGACACAAAAGAACAGGGTCAAAATGTGTTGAAAGATTAAGCGTGTTCATTCTCAAATATCCAAGTGAAGGGTGTAGGCTGGCCCATTTTAACAGTGCAGAGGGAAGCAGCCAAAATTTAAAGAGACGAACGGCAAAGATCTGTGTCAGTTACACACAGGGCAGCCAGCTGAAAGGATCTCGTGGACAGTTTCATTGTAAGTCATTCTATGTGGATATTCTAATTTGAAAGAAATAGCTATGATACAGTTTATATAGGTATGTCGCCCAACATGTACTTGTGTCTACATTTCAGAGCGTGTGTGTACGCGCGCGCGCTGGTGTGAACTAGTGCAATGAATTTAAGTCAAGGTTGCCAATTCTTTTACTGAGTACGTATCATATACTAGCGGACTCAATTTATAAATAGGCTTTGTTTGTTAAACTGTGCATGACATCGCAGCTAGGTCGTTTAACGGTCTTTTCCTTCGCAGTGACGATATGGGAAACCGCAGCAGTTTAAGGGCTAAACACGACGATGAGCGTCAGGTAAATATACATACATGGCTATCGTCCCTCACCCTGCACATGCTTATATTGGTACATCACTGCACGTCTCTTGTTCTCTCTCTAGTTTTCCTTCCCTCTCTCTGTCACTCTCTCTCTCTCTCTCTCTCTCTCTCTCACACGCACACACACACACACACACACTTAGCATGTGTATGTACACACTTTCCTCCCCTGTCTTTTTCTTTTACTTATAGATGCTCAGGGTAGGCTTTACAATGAAAAATTGAAAGTAAAGTGTACGCGTCGGAGAATGATCCACAGTCCTAATTTTATCCCGTACAGTTTCTTATATTTCCTAATTTAGAATTCAGTGTCCAAAAAAAACTTTATTTATTTTCACTATTTGCAGCTTACCCATTGCCCTTAAAATGTCCCGGTGTAACGTGACAGAGATTCCCCCATGATAGTTTTCTTCCCATTCATTTGTACAGGTAAGCGTCGCCCTATAGATTCTGACCTACTTAGATCAGGCCAACCCTTACCTAACCCATAATTATATGGAGGGCGGACTTTCTGTTACACGGACCCTTAGTTTCGTGACACCGGCCTTTTCGGCGTGCAAAGTGGTTGCCTTGGCATCTGGCAAATGCACGCGAGATATGAAATTGTTCGTATGATCAGGGACGATATAATTCCCTGGTATAATACACGATCGAGCGCGACGGAACTACGCCGAGTATACTTATATTTTTGACATTTTGTTTCTTTTACACACAGTACACTTCGAATTGTATGTGCACCGTATATCTATCTTGGTTTTCTCCGTCCCAAATGTGAGCACGAGATAGAGACTATTGAGAGTGAGAAGAGCCGAGTGCTAGCTAGGCCACGACATAAATATGGCGGACCTACATGAAAGGAAGACCGCTTAATCCTGTAATGGTCTTTCCGCCTCTCCCACGCGTGTTCCCCCGACCGTTTGAATTGAGCCGAGATTTAATTACTGTGCTTCTGAAGGGACGACGCGTGGGGAGGCGTGAGAGGCGGAGAGACCATTACAGGATTAAGCGGTCTTCCTTTCGTGTAGGTCTGCCATATTTAGGTCGTGACCTAGCTAGCACTCGGCTCTTCTCATTCTGAATGGCTTCATATTCTAGTGACACAGGTGCTGAGCTTACTTACACCCTGATTATAGTGCATCCCGATCTGGCTCACCAAATCGGGAGAAAGCAGGCCTTTGACGCAGGGAGCAACAGTGCATCGTAGTTCCAAGTTAATACTGATGATCTGTCTCCCTAAGGGATCGATACAATTTATGATACGATCTAGGCCAATTATTTCATTATTATAATTATTAACAAAAGCACATTAAAATCTTCCCTACATTTTCCCTTACATCTTCCCTACTTCAATCCTTCACAAGTGGGAAGTCTACATCTGTTTGCACACGACGTCATAAAACCTAGACTGTGATTTAATCGATTTGCATCATGGGGGTATAGAGACAAATGTATACCCGGTACTGTAATGTGAAAAAAAGAACGTCGTTAAAGAACCCGGATCCATTTATAGTATGAAATTGTCCTTTTTTAGCCTCTGGCGAGCGAAAGCGCCGAAGATCGAGTTCTGCCACGGCCACCACGTTGTGACACCGAAGATTTCAAGATCGACATCGTGCCTTTGCCCAATCGTGGAGTGCAAGTTGTGGTCCATGACAATCGGAAGTCAGCACCGTCCAATCAGGTGCGTCTGCGCATCCTTTGTCTACCGATCTCTTTGTCTGTCTCTGTGTCTGTCTTACACTCGTTTCATTAATTTCCACGTTTGTTTGTTTGTATCCAGCTGTGTGTATATTTAAAGCACATGTACTATTTCATTAGTATTGCATGGATAAACATTATAACTATTTGTACTATATATATATATTATACTAAATATACATGATGTTTCATAATCGTTTACTTTATTTATTTATCCATGCATTTCTACGACTTGTGTTTATCGTAGACTTTGTAGATTTGTCTGCTTACTGGTTCAGTGTCCGTCCATTTTTGCTACTTAAAGCAGGATCTAATTGTAAAGACTCCGTTGTTTTAGTGTAATGCGATGTGATGTGACGTGACGTGATGTAATGAAATACAATACATGTGCAGTACAGTAAGTACAGTACAGTACAATACAATACAATACGGAAAATTGCCTCATTTCAGCCTAGAGACGGCGATATAGTTTCGCTGTGGTCAGTGATGTCCAATGCAGGAGATGGGTTCCTACAAGTGACCAACGTGAAAGTGGACCCGGACAAAGACGAGTACGTTGTTGATATGGCTGGAACATTGGACGCTGATGCAAGTAACTGTCAGATTTTAGTGTATGGAATGCTTTTTTATGGCCCTGCCTATTTTTATGAAGTAAAAACAGTGATGTAGCTCTTAAAGTGTGCATATCATTTTACGGCTTGAGGTACATGCATTGATAAAAAGCGAAAAAATTCCTCTTACTGTTTATGTAGTCTTTTTAATGTCGTTTCTATTTTTCTTCTTTCCCTATGTTTATAGTCGTTTTAATATCGCTTAATTTGATTAGGGAATCTCTCATCACATACATTTTGTATCAGATGTTTCCAAGGCTGAGACAAATGTCAATGTATGCATCCTCCTTTTTCAGCGAAGTTTACTTGGCAGAGCAATTTTCCTGCAATTTCTCGGAAGAGTGACCTTCCTCAAGATGTGCCATGGTTTGTAGTTACCGATCTCGACCCAGTTATCTTGAAAATCCGCGGCTACCAATTTAAGCAAGATGGAGATAACACATGGTATACAATAACTGTGGATGGCGATATGGTTGTCGCAAAACCTGAGGTAAGATTTGACCTTTCCTACGTTACGATGAGTTGGAACCTTTTGATAGTCCTCATCAACATTAAGCACACCATAGTTCCATAATCAATTGATGCTAGACTGTTGAAGTTGATAACAAAGCACATTTAGGGATGACCAAGACAGAGATGCATCTAAAAAACCATTGTTAAGTCCTAATTTCTAAAGGAAAATATAGTCATTATCATATATACCAACCAAGCCGGTCATGACCTTTTTTGAAATTATGAAAATCAAACCATACTAATAATGCTCTATTGGGAAATCCTTTTTGTCAGAAAGTCGTCCATCCCTGCAGTTGTACGGTGGAGGATGTTTGTCTTCCTCTTTGTCTGTTCTTTGAAAGATATTTTGAAGACTTTAAATAGAGTTATTACATTTACCTTGGGCGAATGAAATGTAGCATTTGTCCAAGAATTTACTTGGTGCCGATTTTAAGTTTTATCAAGTAGCTGTACAGTATATTTCGCCGTGAAACAAAATGTAACATGGTCGTTACATTGTCCCATATTTTCGCGAATATAATGCCGTGTTCTTTAATAATTATCATTTGGAATTAAACAGTACTTCATGTACTAAGTCTTTCTCAACTGGCAAAACTTGGCTGTGTCACGATCAGATCTCCCCTTTCATCAGGGCTTCATCAGGGTTAATTACTCGTTTGAATAACATTAGTTTAAACTATGTTTAACCCCATTATTTCCATGTGTTGTGCCCGTTAGTGGATGTTTGAGAGAGAGAGGGAGAGAGAGGTGGTTTTCCGTGTTTTTTCCAGACGAGATCCAAATCATTTTCCAAAACTACTTCAATTTCCTAAATTTGATAAGAAAATATATTGCAGGTTTTTTTTTTTTTTTTTTTTTTTTTTTTTTTTTTTTTTTTGGGGGGGGGGGGGGTTGGCATAACATGAACCGTCCCCATGGGAAGATCAAAGTGTTAAACCATACCCTCACAACTCCATTTTCCAAAACAAAACGGCCGATTTAGTCCCTTTCCCTTCAATAAAATTTAATAATAACTCTAAAACTTTTTTAGCAAACGTTACTCGCGGTTGCTTTAATTAAGCAGTAAATAAATTGCATTTCTGTATGAATAATAAACATTTATGCTATCACTATACTTTGCGTATAGACAATTTTTGTTTATTTACAGAGTAAACATTTTAAGATAAGAAGGCGAAGGCATATTTTTACTGTCTACTATTGTGCAAACATATCAAACTATGTAAAGGTTCACCATTTATTGATACATACAAGTCATCTCAGTTGTTTCTTTTTATTTACGTAATTTCTACCTCACTCTATTTCTATAGTCCCCCACCCCCAGTTAACCTTTACCAATATTTGGACACTTTTATTTACATACAACCGTTTGAACGGTTGCTTTATCGTTAATGGGTAAGAAAATAATAGGACTTAACGTAACTTGCCGTTGCTGATCATTTGGCTACCCGTTTGCAATAAAAACATTATATATACAAGAGGATACGTTTGGAGGAACTTTAACAATGTTGTGCGTATTATCTCACCTTTGGTGGTTTAAAAGGCAATTTTACGGAAAAATTAAGCCCATCATTATTTGAAATTGATATGTTAAACATTAAATGCCATTTGTATGCCAGATACATTCTCTTTTATGTACTTGGATATTCTAAAATTTGAAAGTCAATAGCGCACTGATATAAGCAACAATTAGGGCTACTCTTCTTCAAAGGAGCAGCCTACCTGTAACAGTCTGGTCACAGATTCTGCGGGTTCACAAATCCCATCAGAACAGAACTCCTCTGGAATACCTGTGACAACGTTATCCTGTGAAGTGGAAATAAGGTGGTCTTTCACCTCTGAGGGTGTTGGGTTGTAGTCGAGAGAACTCATGTAGACAGCGGCGGCGCCAGCCACTAATGGACATGCCATGGACGTCCCCGAACTGAGTCGGTACCTGTACACTCCTTCGTTAGAGCTACTCCCCAGGTCTTCACCAGGAGCCCATATATCCACATCCGACCCATAATTAGAAAACGTTGCTCTCTTATCTCTGTGCTGCGTTGCCCCTACTGTGAAGGCGTGCGTGGCGCTAGCTGGGGAGATGTATTTGCTCAACACATTTTCGTTGCCAGCTGCGACTACAGATAAAACTCCGGCATCCGTGAAAAGGGCGTTAACGGCGTCGTTTAGTATTTCGCTTTTCTCGCCTCCTAGGGACAAGTTAACGATAGACTTACGTTGAGTGGCCTGAACTTGCTCTTGGACCCAGGAGAGCATGGCGATTATACCGAAATCGGAGCCAAATCCGTCATCCCCTAATACCTTCACACTAATGAGACTGACGTTTTTAGCCACACCCACGGTTTTTCCACCAATAAGTCCCGCCACGTGAGTACCATGTCCATCAACATCAGCAGCTGACCATGAAGCATTAGCTATGTTTCCTAAGGTCACACGACTGGTACCATCCGCGCGCAAAAACTCGATATGCTCCCGGTATATTCCTGTGTCGAACACGTAAACGTCGACGTCACTTCCTGTGCCTTCTATGTTGAATTTACCGTCCAGTGCCGTACTCGCTTGATCAATCCTGTCAAGGCCCTGTAAATAAATAAATAAATGTTGTAAATAAGGTAAAACTGTGCCTACGGTGGCATGATTTTTTTATGGTAAAAAATTAGATATTTTAATGCAGGATATACTATTGTTGATAATAGATCAGATTAGCGTAAACTCTCTCTCTCTCTCTCTCTCTCTCTCTCTCTCTCACACACACACACACACACACACACACAAACACACACACTTTATAGCGCAAACCTTAGGGCACACCACATAAGACTTCAGTAAACTTCCTTCAAAACACAGACACAACATAAACACTTCACACACACACACACACACATATACATACCCAATTTTCCGGAAAGTATGACCAGCACGCCCCGTCATCAAGATCTGTACCATTCTCGCAGTGACAATTACATGTACAGCCGGCAGAATAAACGTACGTGTCCTGGTAAATGCTGTCTATTATATCCGTCTGCAGCCTGAACCACTCAATGCCCCTGTATTGTCGAAAAAAAATGTATATACTTAAAAATCATATTGGTTAAAGTGAAAAAGAAAATGCACTCTCTTCTTTCTTTCTACCTCTAGGTCTCGGTTTCATTTCCAATCCCTCTCTCTCTCACTCTCTCTCTCTCTCTGTCTCACACACGCATATGCACATGCTCACACTCATGTAACACGTACACGTTACACACACATGACACATACACTCACGCACACACACGCACACGTAACACAATCACTTGCCACATCCTCATGCACACACACACACACACACACACACACACACACACACACATTATCTCGTACTCTAAAATACTCACTCCTCTGTAGTCTTCACCATAAGATATCTCAATTGTCCCACTGCACCCGGCTCTCCTATTTCTGTCCGGTCAAACAAATCCGGGGGCATTTCATCCTTTATGGAATTGATAAAATCTGAAGCTGAAAAGGTGATCATTTGAGATTGATTAAAATTATGCAAAATGCCATTAAACTCGAATGCTTTAAAAACTCGATTGAGGCATTTTCTGTCGAGCCACACCATTTCATTACATAAACAAGCCCACAATGATTTTATCAGCAGTTATACAGGTATGTCATATGTCTTTGTCGTTAGTACTTGCGATGAAAATCTACTCAAAAATAGGAAGAGGTTGCTCTCACAACTGGTTGACAGTTACTTATCAGATGCCAGCTTGTTATGTTTTGTTATCAATAATAAAGCGATCAAAACTCTCTTTCTGACATCTGTAATTTAAAACTATTTCCATTCGCACATATATTTATTTCCGCTATGCTCTTTCAGTAAGCGTTCATTTCGCAAGGCATATCTTTTCGATGTTTTTGTACATCTAATAGAGCTAATATGAAGAGAAAGGGGAAAAGAGAAAGAAAGAGCGTATAGTCTTTTTACTTGAAATATACAAGAAGGCACCAAATATTCAACCACTGGAAAATCAGATACATGGATAACTAGTAATAATTTTACTGAGGAGATTTAAGGTAAAAAGTATGCTTAGATATTAAAGACAGAAAGTAGTAGAAAGAAAAAAATATTTATAATGTAAAGTGGGTGAAATATGTATAAAAAGATATCCGTGATACTTTTCAATATATTTTAATATAAGTCACCATTAAATCATGATTGAATCAGGAACGGTTTAATCCTTCATATATCCTTCATATCTTAGCAAACAAGGACTCTTTTCTAGCCTTTCAAAAATGATTAAAAGCAATTTTGCCTCGTTCGATTAATTTTTGGGTCCCTAGGCACCTTCTGAAAACGATAGAACAAATTCGTAAAATTATATCTTACCTTGGTCGATACCTGTTCCATTTTTCAGTTTCAGTATGTAACTGTCGGGTATCCCCACGTCGCCGGTGTATTTTTGTAACTCAACTTAGGTAAAATAGAAAGGATAATAATAATAATAATCAGGCTCGAATAATCAGGCTTCGAAAGAACCCCCCTTTTTGCTGGAAAAAGGTCCACTCTGGGTAAAATTTGACCTACATGTAGGTACATGGGGATTATATGGTAAAAGGTCCACTTTTTCAGAAAATGAACCCCCCCGTTGAAATTGCAGGCTACGGGCCTGATAATAATAATAATAATAATAATAATAATAATTATAATAATAATTATTATACGATTCGTCGTTTTTTGAAAGTTTTTGAAATTGAAGTATTTCTGCTCTTTTAATTAGGTTAAGACTATTCTTTTGTCTTCTTTAATTTTGCAGAACTCAGAAGCACCGTATTTACCCCGTTTGTCGTCTGCTGCAATCTTCAACAGCGCTCCACGTTGCGTCCGCCCCAAAGATTGGACCTCTTCAACGTCCCCACGCGTGACTCCCGCGACGCAGGAACTTGGCAAAAATACCAAGAAGTAAACAACCACAAGAAATCTTGTCATCTTCGTCTAGAAAAAAAAAATCATTCTTGGCGTTAAAGAGTACCATTTGATTTATGTCTTAATATGTGGATTTATGGTGATATTCATTGATAGCAGCTTCAAAATGTATGGATGTTACGAAATAAATCTGTTAATCTCATATATATATATAAAAAGGACAAGACACGTACAAGACAAGTAATTGGACAAATGCTATAAAATATAAAGGCATTCTACTTAATCCGAACGAAATTTTCGCAAAGGTATTTTAATATAAGGATCAATTCACCATTAATATTCAATATAGAGAACAACCATGCGAATACCGACATTCATTCATACATGAGAAATACCTAAGTGACCACTTGATTGAAAATTCACATATTTTAACTGTGTACAGGTAGCTTACCTTCTGTGTTTAAGCAGTTTTTCTATTCGCACTTATGCACACCAGACGCCGATATCTTTTCAGGTATCTCTAACACGATGTCTAACTTCAGAAACGTCACATACAGCGATCGACTTGTTTCTCCAGAAACTCTAAAGACTAACACTTTTATACAGCCCACCTCGTTTTGTACCAGTTTATCCACCTATCAAAAATGATGGCAGCTGATTGGCCGATCTATTGTTATGATCTTCGAATCACAGTACGTAGGGCTGACACGGCTAGATTTTAAAAGAGAAAAAAAAAATAGAAATTTAGTATGGGCAAGGGAATTGTCCTTGGTATAGGTCACCTATTTAACTCTGTTTATATCACCAGGTAGCTATCTTGGTTACTGATTGCATGATTATGAGAGCTAGGGCATTAAGTCTTTCAATAAGTGGCAAACTAACAACACGTCATTCTTAGCTAGAAGTAGTCACAGCAATTAGCCAATATACCTTCAATAACTCAGATCTCATGATCAGAGTAAGTACACGTCTAACTGAGTCAAACAGCGTCCAATTTCACAGCTTGGGGCTTGTCACCGAAATTGACCTTGGCATGCAGGCAAAGTTTAATTACAGGGCTACTGGCACAATGTTACAATTAACGACGAATGCTCCGATGGCATCTGCCATTACTATAATTAGCTCACCTTTTAAAACTGCTGCATTCAGACCCCTGCTACAAACAAACTACCTGGTCACTCGCTAACATCATGAGCAATCAGCTTGATCTATTAATTGGGTTAAAGTGTTTTGGGCGAGGCAAGAGTAATAAACTGTAATTAACGATGGAACTTTGCTCTTTAAAACGCAGCCGATGGATATTTAAAGAAATCAGTGACAAGTAGCAAAGCTATTAAAGACAGTGGGTAGAAGCACTAGCACGTGTTGCTGCCAGCTTTCAACTTTGCTCTGGTAAAATTCCTTCCCGTGGATTAGCTGAAGAATTGGACAAAAAATTAAAAAAGAAAAGAGTGAAGCGACATCTTTGACTCACGGTAAGTGTTCCTTAATTTACATTTCATGTACTGGTACATAAATATTCCTAAAACAGGACTAAAATATTTTTTTCCTGTTTTAAATTGAAATGTTAATAGGAAGTCATACAGGTTCTTGGTCATTGTACATGTTTTTTTTAACATTAAAATTCTATCAAAACATTAATACCCGAGTACCACATAAATTGTTAATCAACTTTTAAAAAACACCATGGAATAGACAGCCTTAAAAGACGTGATTACTTTATTTATGATAATTTTCGAACCCTTAATTTACAAATGTACCGGTATCTTTTTATCTTTCATTTTTTTTTTTTTTTTTGGAAAATTGAATTTTAATTTAATCATCTAAAATGTTTAGCAATGATATTTGTGATTTCACTATTTACTTCTAGGAACACTCCGATGATGACGTCGCAAATGGTGTCATTTGTTTTGATAATTGGAGCTATTGCCATCACCTGTGGAGCTGCGGGCCTTTTTGTCACCGAATCTGACCAAAATGGCGTCCAAGACCCGCTTGTTTCCCCGGCTGATGAAACCAAAGGTAGGTGTGCCTCTCTACATTTCAACATAAAGTTCAACTGAATCTGTATTGATTCCTACCTGAACATTTTGATTTGATAATAATGAAAAAAAAAAAAACATTAAGATAAAATATCTATAAAAATATTTGTTTGACGAGTCGCTTTTTATCATAAACCCGACAAAAATTCAATAGCCGAGTTATGCATTCAAAGTACATGTACCAAATTAGAGTAAATGATAAAAGAAATAATGTGGAACTTTAGCAATTCTGAGTTTGGCTGTAATTTGACAAGACTATTACTGTAACTCTAGGATCTGATACATTGTTATGATATAACTTCAAATGTAATGTCCTTTCCTTCATCTTCTGTTCTTGTAGAGTTCTTTTTTTCTGTAGAACCCCCTTTACACTGGACAGCCTCCTTTCTGCGTCCTTTGAGCGACCATGAAACTGGCATCACTGTGGTCGTAGAAAAGGATCGAGGCACATGCATCGCTTTTGTTTCAGAATGAATACTCAATGATCGGCCAGTTGTTAGCACGTAAAGTTTTTTTTTTACTTTCAAACGTGGCCGTAATACAGGACGCAGAAAGCACGCCGTCCAGTGTAAAAGGGGGCTTAATCTTGAAGATTTATCACCAATTTATTTCCACGCGCCAATCTCTTTTTTTCCAGTTGCGCTCCACACGTATACTGGTGAGGATGGGATTCCGGACACTTACATTGTAAAACTGAGGAAAGACGTGACCGGCCAGAACGGTATGCATTTTGTTTCTTATTAACGGAACACTAAAACGCACGTTATGTAAACATAAGTAAATGGGCATGGTGGTATCAAAATAGATAACGATAATAACATTGTAACACTGAAGAAAGACGTGACCGACTAGAACGGTATGTATTTTGTTTCTTATTAGTGTTTAGCTTACATGTACAGGTATGTAAACATAAATAAATGGGTATGATAAGGCCGATGTATTGATAATGATATTAAACAATTCATGGATTATACTGATTCGAAGCCTAAATTATTAGGCCATGAATTTAAGTTCTTAATATTTTTCTTTCAACATGACAACGATGCATGAGTGATGTCTTTGGTGCTGAAATGCATTTCAGTACATTTAGCTTGATTGATATTTGTATTATAATGATTTTTAAATGATTTTTCAAAAAAAAAAAAAAAAAAAAGAAAGAAAACATTTTATAATTATACACTTACATGCCCTTTTAAAATGTTTCGTAGTGGCAGACGTTCGTGATGCTTTAGAATCTGAGCTCCTGTCGAGCGCTGAGGGGCGTTTAACTGCCCTAGGGAGGAGTGCTCGAGTCGGCGAGGTGATGGATTTCAATGAAGTTCAAATGGTCGTAGTGGAGGCAGTAAAGGAGTAAGTGTTGGGCCGTTTGAAAAATGCGACCACCATAAAAATGCAGTCCGTTTATTTATTGATTGATTTATTTAAATATATTTATTTTAGCTGTCTATTAATCAGAGCGTTTCAATATAAAAATAATCGCGAATTAAAACCCATGTTTGGTCTTAATGATCGAAGAACGAGGCGATTTAGTCCGAAATCAGTTCCTAACAGTCCAAGTCTAAACAATTATTTGGGTGTAATGGGTGCACTTAAATGTTATGCGTTTAACCCCAATTAATTCTATTTATTTACTCACGAAATTCACTGCAGGTCAAGAACTACTTCAGCAAAATATGCACCTCATCAAAGTTTTTTTTTTTAATTTAATTTCTTCAAACTAAAGTTGAGAAATTTTGCGTTCTCAATGAAATAGTTTCTGTGGTAGAATTTTAAGTGTTGTTATTGACAATTATTTGCCAATTTCTCGATAGGGACATTCAACGGCTGCGGCAAAAGACAGATATGATCGAGGCCATCTACCAGGACGGTGTGGTGACCACCGCACAGATATGTTTCTGCCCATGTGATTGCCCAGCTGAGGACAGGCCCAATAACAAGGCCTGCCAAACGTCGACGAATACTGCGGGGAATTGGGTAAGGCAGACTTTTTCATTCTATTTTATTTACCAGTTTGTTGTATTTTATTTATCTCTCGAAATATTTTCTCCTTTAACTGTTTATGTCAAAAGATTGATTTGTAGGAGAGTACATGTACAGTAATTTTAAAGTGCCTGTGCCTTATCAACAACATCATTATTTTAAATTTTAAATCTACCACAAATACCTGAATATAATTTATTTTCAAAAAGGATTTGGCAAAAGTAGATAGTTGTTAGTAATACACACACTTTTTCTTTCTCAGGGACTTGATAGAATCGACCAAAGAGACGCCGCCCTTGACGGGGCATTTAATATCGTTGGTACAGGCAGCGACGTGAACGTGTACATTCTGGATTCCGGGGTCTACGCTGAGCATGAAGAATTTCTTCGCGAAGACGGCTCAAGTCGTGTCACATATGGCGCCAAGGCCAATGCATCTTGGGACGATAATGACGTCATGGGTCACGGGACACACCTGGCTGGTATTATTGGCGGGAAAAATGTGGGCGTGGCCAAAAATGCCAACCTGATCAGTGTCAAAGTGCTTGATGACTTTGGCATGGGGCAAATCAGCGGTCTTGTCAGCATGATGTACTGGGTTTGGTTAAAAGTCCTTATATACAGAAGAAAATCTCTTCTAGTGCTGTCTGTAGTATCTCCGTGGAATGAAGCCTTGAATTCGGTAGTGAACGATTTAGTAAATTTCGAAATCATGGTAATAGCAGCGGCTGGAAATGGAAACGTGCCAACGCGCTATGTTTCACCCGCCAGTGCGGCACAAGCTGTCGCCGTTGCAGCTTCGGACATAGGTGACACTAGGGCAATCTTTTCAAATTACGGCGAGGAAATATTTCTATGGGCCCCAGGAGACATGATCAAGAGCAGCTCGCCCGGATCTCCAAACGAATACACCGTTCGCTCCGGCACATCCATGGCGAGTGCCTTTGTTGCCGGTGCCGCAGCAGCCTACATGAGTTCGCTTGATTACAATCCAACACCCCAACAGGTTAAGACGTACCTTCACGAGCAAGCAAGCGAGAATGTGATTACGGACAGCCCCACTGAGTTCAACTGCCGCACAGAGTTGATTTGCCTTAGACCGAACTTTTGCGACGCTCAGACGGTGTGTGAAAGCGTCACGACAACCGCTAAGTTTCTCTATGTCGGATGTAGTCAGGATGAACCGAAGAAAAGTAAAAAGAGTAAAAAGAGTAAAAAAGGCAAAAAGACTAAAAAGAGTAAGAAAGGTAAAAATAGTAAATAAACAACATGACTGATTATTGTACCATTTTAACATACTTAGTTGATGTGTAAATAAACGGCTTTTAATGAATTCCAGTCTTGTCATTGTTATCAATAATGTGTGCCCGCCAGACAGGAACAATAGAAATGCAACACTGTTCTCGCCAGTTTTGGATTGAATTAAAATACACAAACGTTATTTTAACTTCATAGTTTACCCCCGTCCTCTTTTTACTGTAACCTTTCTCTCTCTCTCTTTCTTCTTAATCTTCTTTTAAACATCATTATCATTATCATTATCAGCAATATTTCAATGCTGTTAAATTGAAGCCATCCTGCTTACAATGACGATTTCATGGCAATGAAGCTGCGGGGCTATTGTAAGCGGCGCCACTTCTTCTGTTGGGCAGAAAAAGTTTTTTGTGTGTACTTTTTGGCCCAGGCCACGAATCAGGATTCTGCTGTATGCTGGTCCTCTGGAAACTACGTTATTAGGGTACACGTGGTCTGCCATTCTGTCCAGTATTGTTATACAGATAAACAATTTTCAAATTACGGAAGTGGACTAGTAATGCAAAAACAAGGCATTGTGTACCGGGCAAGGCTACAGCCAGCTGAATAAAAGGTTTCATGATAATAATAATTGGCAACTTTGAAATAAAAGTTATATCCTTTATTTCCAAAAGGGGTCATCATTTTTAGCAAGAGTGTACATTTTGGTCAGAAGTTACAAAATGCCAACACCTTGGCCTTGTTTAATGTCCACACTAAATACTCTTAAATGTGCTTTTTATCCCATAATCAACATCGAATATGGGATAGAAAAAAGCTTTACAAGGTAAAATGCCACTTTTGGGCATTTTAAAACATGAACAAAACTGGCATTATACTCATCCCTATTGTTGCTATAATAATCGTTGTTTTCATAATTTTTGTTCCCTCGCATAAAGTCCCTATTGAACTCGCTTAATGTTATTATCAACCTCGAAAGATAATTTTTGCTTATTAGGGAAAAAACTGACGATCACATAGTCATTATGAATTGATGTTATGTAGAGATAATGACCTATTTATCAAGTAATTACCTATTTTAAAAAACGTTAGCGCTTTGGCGAGTCATGACGTTAAATTATCAGCTTGTCGTCTCCCGGAATTGAGTCTAAAATGTTTTTTTTTACATTAACAGGCCTGGATACAGCAGCAAAAGGTCACAGAAATATGGACCATATATTATCAATGTCCTGGACACACACACACACACACACACACACATACATACATGTATATATTCTAGTCCAGGAAATTGGTGAAAAATTGTGCATTTTTTACCTACAAGCATGAACTTTGGCACACTTATGGACAATAAAATTCTAAGCAAATTTGGATATATGGGCATGTCTGAAAATTCCAAAATGGCCGTCAAATCCAATATGGCCACCAAAATACCTTTTCAAATTAAAACTTGAAGTACATAGTCTTCTAATGACTTAAAATATCATATAAAGGTTAGAAAACACCATGGTATGAATCCTTCAGGTGTATTAAATCCAAAATGGCCGCCAAAAGTAAAAAACGCTGACCATTTATTCAAGATATCCATTTGAATGGGGAATTCATCAAGCACTTAAAACTACAAGCATAAAATTTGGCAGGTTTGTGGAAAATGAAATTCTGAGCAAGTTTGGATGTATGGGCATATAAGAAAATTTAAAAATGGCCTTCAAATCCAAGATGGCCTCCAAAAATACAGCTTCTAATTAAAACTTCAAGTATATAGTCTTTTAAGGACGTAAATATCATACAAAGGTTAAAAAACACCACGGTATGAATTCAGAATCAATATTTGCTTTTTTAGGTGTATTAAATCCAAAATGGCCGCCAATAGTAAAAAACACTCTACTAATCCAAGATATCCAGCAGAGTGGTTAATTCATCAAAAACTACAAGCATGGCATTTGGTACAGTTATAAAACAGGATTCCAAGCACTTTTGGATGTATGAGCATGTCTAAAAATTTCAATATATGGCCCCCAAATCCAATATAGCCGACACAAATACCCGTTCAAATTAAAACTTCAAGTATATATAATCCTATAATAACTTAAGATAACATTTTATGGTTAAACAAGACTATGGTATGCATGAAGTATCAATATTTGATTCTTTAAGTGTATAGAAATCCAAAATGGCCTCCAAAAATAAGAAAAACAGGCCACTCACAGCAGCAGTATGGTGAATTCATCATGCACTTAAAACTACAAGCATGAAAATTGGCTCAATTGTACAGAACAGGATTCTAAGCAATTTGTTATATAGGGACATGTCTGAATATTCTAAAATGGCCACTAAAACCCTTTTAAAGTAAAAAAAGACTACTATATAATCTGACTGACAACAGTCTTTACTCTTTTTTGGTTTTTCGCTCCTTTAGTTACATTTAGACCCAAATGGCCATAAAAAATGGAACAGGACTCCTTTTGGTCTAGTTGTGACACCACATGCAGCAATTCTATAAATGTCAAGGAAATGAAAATGTCAAGGTATTTTCACAAATAAGTTTCAAATTAACGAAAGATATTTTATCAAGTAAGTGTTGCACATTTTATGGGCGGTCAACCTTTTACTTTAGTAAATGGACAATATATCAACAGAGGATAACAGCTAGCTACACTGAAATTTCTACTTATTTGGTTAAATAATTTTCATTCATTAATGTGTGCCTAGCTTTACTAGTAGTTGTGTTTCCCTCAGCTTTCCCAGTATTTCCTTAAAGCTAAAGCTTCTACATGTTATCCACTTTCCCCAACAAAATACCAAGAGGCATTGGTCGTTTTTAACACCAGAAAGCATCAGTTTACATGCATGAGGGTCAATAGGAATGTGAAAGTGTGGTAGGGCATAGTAGTAGTAGATGTAGGTTACTAGTGTGAACCCTTAAAGGACGACCAGTCTTCCAATGCTTCTGACTCAGTTTACATGCACGACGGTCCATAGGAACATGAAAGCGTGGAAGGGCATATTAGTAGATGTAGGTTACTAGTGTGAACCCTTATAGCACCAGTCTTCCAATGCTTCTGACTCCCCTCACCACAGTTAGCAACTGCACACATAACTACAAACAGATGTGGTAGGAGCTACCTGGTAGATTTTGTAAGCTGGGTAAGTGAATACTCCTCATGGCTTTATTCTGGATTGTCCCACAGAGACAATGATGTCGGAAATCTCATGAATTTTTACCTTTCAAAGTCCATATTGCACTAATTTCTTGGTGTAATCCTCAGAATACATCGTTTTTTGAAGTTTTGTATGTATTCACTGTCTGGAGGATTTTAATTCTTTTATTTTCATGTTCAGTTTTTTGAAAGTATAAGTTTGTAACTAAACAAGTTGCCAAATGATCAAATGAAAACCAAAGTTTGGCGCCTATAGATCAGTGCTTCTTTTTTAGTGCACGAAGTGTGAAGTCTGCAATGCAACTCTTGGATACAGCACGTATCAACACCTGCCCTCTGTTTGGGGTACAGGTATTTCTTTGCTCATAAATTTTCACTAAATTCTCGGTAGCCATTACTGCGAATGTACTAAAGCCAATTTTTTAAATAAGAAGCTTTTCTAATTTACTTTTGAAGCACAAGATAACATCATAACATTATCGAGTGCAAATGTGCCCCGCTTTTAGTACTTTACCAATGAAAAACACCTAATTGTTGAGACCTGGATGTTTGATTAGCTGTCTTTTTTGTTATATTTATGAGCATTTGATGAAGCGCCATGCACTGATATAGCTGAAGAATCATAACCAACAGACAAAATTGGTACACCCCAAGTTTTTTATATTTGCCTCTTTAAGGCTAAGTTATTCTGGTGTTTCTTTCACATTTTATGGATTTTGCACGGTATTTTTTTCTTAGAAAGGGGGAGTCACTCATGAGTGCCATATAAGAAGATTGCTAACTGGGAATTGAANCAGAATACTGTCTGGAGGATTTTAATTCTTTTATTTTCATGTTCAGGTTTTTGAAAGTACAAGTTTGTAACTAAACAAGTTGCCAAATGATCAAATGAAAACCAAAGTTTGGCGCCTATAGATCAATGCTTCTTTTTTAGTGCACGAAGTGTGAAGTCTGCAATGCAACTCTTGGATACAGCACGTATCAACACCTGCCCTCTGTTTGGGGTACAGGTATTTCTTTGCTCATAAATATTCACTAAATTCTCGGTAGCCATTACTGCGAATGTACTAAAGCCAATTTTTTAAATAAGAAGCTTTTCTAATTTACTTTTGAAGCACAAGATAACATCATAACATTATCGAGTGCAAATGTGCCCCGCTTTTAGTACTTTACCAATGAAAAACACCAAATTGTTGAGACCTGTATGTTTGATTAGCTGTCATTTTTGTTATATCTATGAGCATTTGATGAAGCGCCATGCACTGATCTAGCTGAAGAATCATAACCAACAGACAAAATTGGTACACCCCAAGTTTTTTATATTTGCCTCTTTAAGGCTAAGTTATTCTGGTGTTTCTTTCACATTTTATGGATTTTGCACGATACTTTTTTTCTTAGAAAGGGGGAGTCACTCATGAGTGCCAATTAAGAAGATTGCTAACTGGGAATTGATCTAAATGAGAATCCAGAGCAAAAAGTCAAACTACTTATGTTGGTTTATCAAAAGAAGGACTTTTTTCAGTACATGATAAATGTATCATGCTTGATGGTAGGAATATGCTGATTATACAGGTAGTTTGCAAAGCCCACATGCCTATTCCCGAGTGATTACAATTCAATAGTTGTAGTCTGCTGACTTTTGGAGGCCATTTTGGAATTTTAAAACCTTAAGTGGCAGATACTGATACTTCATACATACAATGGTATTTTCTAACCATTAAATGATATTTTTATAAAAGACTATACAAATAACTTTCACCTTGAAAGGGTATTTTGAGGGCAATATTGAAATTGGCTGCCATATTGGAATTTTCAGACATGCCCCTATATCCAACGTTGCTTAGAATCATGTTCTACATAACTGTGCCAATTTTTATGCTTGTAATTGTAAGTGCTTGATGATTTTAGAAAACTGCTG